GTTACCCCGCCACACACTGGGATGAGTCTGGCTCTGTTTTCTTTACTCCCTCCCATCAGGGACATGGACCTGTTAGAGCATATGCAGAGGAGGGCCACAAAAATTATCAGAGGGCTGGAGCACCTCCCATACGAGGACAGGCTGAGAAAGTTTACATAGTTCAGCCTAGAGAATACAAGGCTTCAGGGAGACTTTATAGCAGCCTACCTACTGGTAGAAAGATGGGGAGGGAGTTTTTATCAGGAAGTGTAGTGATAGGATGAGGGTTAATGGTTTTAAGCTGAAAGAGGGAAGATTTAGATTAGACATTAAGAAGAAAATTTTTATTGTGAGGATGGTGAGACACTGGAACAGGTTGCCCAGAGAAGCTGTGGATGCCTCCTTCCTGGAGGTGTTCAAGGCCAGGCTGAATGAGGCTTTGAGCAGCAACCTGGTCTAGTGGGAGGTGTCCCTGCCCATGGCAGTGGGGTTGGAACTAGATGGTCTTTAAGGTCCTTTACAACTCAAACCATTCTATGAGTCTATGCTTCTGTGTTTGTATACATGTTGATAAAGATCCACCTTGAGCCTCCTCTTCTTCAGGCTAAAAAATCCCAGCTCTCTCTGTCCCTGTATACACATGCTCAGTTAGTCACCTTGGTGGGCCCTTGCCAGATCTGGTCCAGTATGTCCAGGTATTTCTTCTAATGGGGAGCTTGAAGTGGACTCCAGATGTAGCCTCGCTAGCACTGCGTAGAAGAGAATAATTACATCCTTTGTCCTGCTGGCAGCACTCCTTCCTGCTAGAGTATATTCTTACAAGTGTATATGTGGATGGTCTGTGAAATACTTTCCCAGTTTAAACTGATTTTTTCCTTTCCAAACAAAAATTAAGGACTTCCCTTTTTGTAAAACAACTAGCGCAACAAAGTCTTGATCAACTGTCAACACCAGTGTTCCTAGGATATAAAGTATATAAATGTATATATGTATACCATCTTATACTAAAACTTAAAGGTCGTGTTTTTACTGGATGTCATAAAGTACTAGTATGAATACTTGTTCCCCTTGCTCTTTGGGATTATGTCAGATTGTCATTGATGTTGCTTTCATCAGATTCTTGAGCAATATGTTAATGTTCTAGGACATAAATAAATGTGATGCTTAAATTGACTTGCATTTAGTCACAGACTCCAAAGGCTTAGAAGTACTTTTTCCTTTGCAGATTCAATGAATTCATTTTGTTCAAGATCCCATGTTTTATTACTACAGATACTTGATTACTTTTAAGCTGAAAAAATTAACTCAGTTCCACCTTTGAGAAATGTAATTTAAATTTATTTTAATCGTCATTGTAGAGGCCCTCCAGTTTTCTTTGATTTTTGAAAAAGCAATTTGTAATTTTTAAAACACAGGACAAGAAATAGCTTTGTGTGGTTTTTTTCCTGTGTTTTTTACTTTTTATTTCTAAAAATGTAAACATTTTTGTTGTGGTATTTAACATTGCTATATCTTTTAAACAGATTCTTAAGAAGAAGGTGGATAATTTAGAGAAGAAAGTCATTGGCTCTTTAGCAAATGAACCTAATGCTAAAGTTAGAGTCCTCTCAGGGTCAATCAGTGACTTACAAAAACAGCTGAATGACTTCATTAGAGTTGTGGAAGATTACAAGCAAAATCTGGATCTCGTGGAGCATCTGCAACAGATGATGGAAGAGGTACTAGTAAACCTGAGATCCCTACTATGGTTGTAATAATGATCCAGGACTGGGATAGATAAAAGTGCTTATAACTACTTCAGACAAAATCTGTGGCTTCCAAAAGTAGTAGATTTGTAAAAATCTGTATTTTCTTCTATTTTTTCTTTGTAACTTTGTAGAGAAAGGGGGGAAAAAACATGCAACGTGACCATATTCCTTCACTGCTATGCATGCGACTGGGGTCTCCGCCTCCATATGACTTTCCTAGTGATTCAGCGTATCTATGATCATACTTATGAGCTCATTTTCTCTAAGCATATTCCCAGGCAACATAGAAAGTGCCACAAAGCCCTCTTTGATAACTGCCAAACCATGAGAGTCAGGTTATCACAATACTCACTTTGTTAGTTGTCAGGAAGAGCTGTATGTGTGGTATGTAATTCTGGAACTAGAATGTAAAATTTTCAGTTCCTTAAAAGCAGCTTATAATTTTTTAAATAGACTTAATTGTTAAGTTTATGTATTTTTTTTTTCCTGAACTGCAATCTAAGTCTTTTTGGAGACTTCTTTAACTTTATTTTAATGTGTCTAAGGACTGCCTCATGCCTTGCCTTTTTTTTAAAAGAAAAAAAAATGTTTGTAATGGTATTTTCCCTCTTGACATATTGTGTTGGTGCATCTGCTGTGAGGAAAGCACATCCCTGTCATCATTGTTTATTTTTAGAAGTAACACTGTTCATATCTCCACAGTTATCTAAATGCGTGACAAATTCCCTTAATTATGGATCACAATACTGAAGTTTTGTTTAAAAGATGTTTTCAGTGTCCAGTGATCTGGTCAATGTGTCATTTCATAAATCGTTAGCAAAGCAATTTGTTACCATTTGTTGTGCATTTATATTTTTCAACTCCTCCCCTTTTTTTCCGTTACTTTAAGGGAAATAAATTATTTCCTAGAGCTAAAATTTAAGATTGCTTTTTTTTACTCAATGTAAAGTATCACCTTTTACTCAACAGTTCTCTTTCAGCAAATAGACACAGTCTTAAATACTGACTTTAATGGCCATTAAAAATGGAGTTTGTTAACGGCTTGGTGTAACGATGCAATAGAGGTGATACTGGTCGAACACCAGATTCTATCTTCCTCTGAGTATTGTTGAGAAAAAAAGTTTGTTAAGAGTATGTTCTAAAGACCATTCTTGTCAGTAGATTCCTAGCAACTTCAATGGTTGCTGAGACCAAAAACTGTTTGCTGGTAGACTAAATCTAAGCAACCTTGCTGCCCTTACGGAGGTATAACTGTGGCTGTAATACAAAGTTAGTGAAATTAGTTGATATATGAGGTGGAAAGAACTCAGAAATAAATGTTAATGTTTGCAGAACCATTAACTAATAACCTCATCATGCTTGTAAGATGAGCATGGATCTACTGTCTAAAGAAAATTCAACTTTTAATTTTTGGAGTAGCATTGGTAATGAACAAATGTTTTTCAGCTTAAATTAAAATCAGAAAATTTAAGACATACTGTATGCCCCTGATCATGGAAAGTCTAAGAATAGTCCAGTCTATTCTGCAAAAGCTTGAACTGCTGATGATAGTTCATGATAATGCAGTGTTTTTATCCCTCAGTGTCAATTTTGGTTTGAAGATGTGAGTGCAACAGTCATTAGAGTTGGCAAGTATTCTGCAGAATGCAAAACAAGAGAAGCAATAGAGACTCTCTACAACCAATTCAACAAGTTTATTGAGCCTACAGTGCCTCAACAGGAAAAAAATATTCAGCAGATTATGGACCTCGCTGAACAGTTATATGGTGAGGAGCTATCTGGTAATGTACGATAGGGAAAAAAGTACAATAACTTAGGATAGGAGGAAGCAGATTCCTAGATTTGTTCATTTAAGAAGAAAATACAATGAAGTTTAAAAGCAAACGTTGTTTTGAAGTATTCATTGGAAGAGGTGAAGGATTTCAGAACAAATATTTAAAAAAATAAAATATGAAAGTATTCAGCAGTCTGGTGATTACTTGATTTTCTGCACACAGCCTGAGTTCACCTTGAAATCAAAGTGTAAATGTCCTTGTAATATTTATGATCTTGGAATTAAGACTTCATGGCTTATACTATCTCATAACAGGTAAGCCTTTGAAGTAAAAGTATATTACAGGGATATACCTCAGTGCTGAGTGGTTTTTTTACATTAACATTGTGAATAACTAGTGGTGTTTGATTACCTACTTTCTTAAGCATTTTATTAGCAAAAGAATGTAGCTTGTTATGTAAATACTGTATTTACAATTGTATGGATTTGGAACACTGTTGACCAAAACGAATGAAGATCAAGAAACTTCAGGTTTTGCTTTTTTTCTCCCACTCGTAATGTTTGTATACTTGTTTAAGTTATTTTATCCAAAGATAAGCGGACCATCCAAATATGAAAGGATGCTGTGTAACCTATCAATTCAAGTAGTAAATCTGAAAAATTTAAACAGTCAAACTGTGCTTTTAAATTTCTCTAATTTAGTGTTGAAAAGACTATTTAGAGAGCACAGATCACTTTTCTGTCTTTTTTTTTAACTTTCTCAATATTTTAAGCATTCCTATCTATAGAAGAGAAGCTGACAGAATGGATTCTTGACACCAGCTGCGAGAAAGGAGCTGCTTTGTGTTTTTTAAGTCATTACATGGGAAAAAGCTTCTCCATCCTGCTTGTGTTTTGTATTTCTTATAACAGGGATCCAAGTGCCTCCTAGCTATATAATAAGGCAACTAGTTTAGGAGGCACTTTACGAGGTCAGCATCTTTTAAAGCAGTATCGCTAACCCTATAGAAGTAATTTTGTTCAAGGAGAGGCCTAGCAGAAGACCTGCAGGGACTATGATGGCCCATCTTAAGTAAGCTAGTAAGAAGTTAGGAAAGCACATTGTTGTGAATCACAGAACTCCCTTCACCAAAATAAACCACATAAAAATGTAATTATTGTAGTATATTGGGGTTACAAAGTGCATTGATTGTTACACATCTGTTTGAGGCATTCTGTCCTACTTTCATGTTGTTTTACCTTTGTAGGTATTGAAGATGGAAAGAAGTATGTTGAAAAAGCCATATTAAAGTACAAAGAAATAATTAATTCTGTCGATGAGTTATGTAGATCTCTGAGAGAACTTAAGGAGATTAAGGTATTTTTTTTATCTGCATAATATAATACATCAATATCAACTTATCAGACTTAGTGTCTGAATCGGTGCTTTTAACTGGGGATCATTTATGGTAGCATGAAGCATTTCTTAGTTACCTTAGGTAATGATTGCAATGAATCAATGAAGTGCTATTTGTTTGTGCCCTAAATATTACTCTTAGGTTTCTTTTTCTTTACTTCTTTCAGAACTGTTACTGCTTTTGAGTAACCTTTAGGGGAAAATTTCACAGTTTCTTTGCGTATCTAGAGAAATATTTCTTGTGCCTTTGGTACTGTAATATGAGTAACTACTAGGTCTATAAAATGCCAAGCATTGTCTCCCTATTGGAAAAATCATCCAAAACCCCAAGCTGTGTTAAAATGAAAGGAATTTAAATTAGAAAAGCATGACTTATAACATAAATATGAAAGAAAACAACAACCTTTTTAGTTTCATATTCTGATAAGCTTTTTTAAGTGTAATTAAGTATAACATATCAACTGGGGAGGAACTATGGAAGACAGCTGAGAGGGCTAGATTTCTGTAATAAAGACTCTTTCTTATTCCAGCTGACACTCTCAAAGTAAGACATCAAAAATCTAATTTTGCTAGTTGTAAAGTTATCTTTCTTTAACTGAGTTGTTTGGAGAAACAGTTTTCACACAGAACATTCATAAACTGTTTACTAATTACTTTAACCTTTAATTTAGATAATTATTTTTTAAAAGTCAGTCAAAAGAAATGTTATAAAAATAAATTTTCTGCAATAGAGAGTACTTCTGCTATTTTTTCAAATGAAAGTTATTTTTTATAATATGTAATATTCTGAGATATTAAAACTACCATTCTTATTTAACATTTCCAGAATATCTCAGTAGTCAATGTCTGTTATCTTATGAAGAATAAATCATTCAGCAAATCGTCTATACAGATACATGCCATGGGTATGGCATGCCATGACTATGAATTCAGTTTCACTTCCTGTCATGTTGAAAGACCAAGAAATTAAGCAGAACTGTTGTATTGCAAAATATTTTCTGATTTTACGTGGCTGTTGAATGTCAGAACAAAACAGCTATTGGATTTTTCAAGTGCAAAATTAAAGACTACTTTTTCATCAGAAAAAAAAAAGATTGAACAGACTACACTGAATTTTTCACTTATTTAATGCTAGAATGAAAAATTAATAATGCAGCACTTATAAGAGCTTATTTAGGACTGTAACTTTTGCTGAACAGCTAGAAATGTGAAATACACAGAACTGCTAATATAAAACTTTTGATTTTCCTTACACTGTACCACTGTGATGTTCTTTGAAATCTGTAGATTTCTTCTGTGGCAATTTTAGAGAGTTCATGAAGTCTTCATAAAATACACTATGGTTGTCCATACTGTTTCTGTTTTGTAAGTACTTTGTAACCAGTTACACAGTCTTTGTGGCTTAAGCTAGAAGTAAGTATTAGCTAAAAAGAATGGTAAAGCAGCTGATCCAAAGTACAGTTCATTCAAAGTGGTTATGGACTGTCCAGATTGGAAGTGTGAGGAGGGAGGAAAGCAAGACAAATGCAAATTCTGCCTGGCTGTTTTATGCTTAGAACACATTCTCCCCTTTCCATCTTTTAGACAAATTTGAACATTCTAGAGACTCAAAAATGTTTTCTTTCCTCCCTACAACTGTTTTCCTGAAATCCTGATTTTTTTTCTGGATTTGTTGTTTATCATGTTTTTTCCTATTAGTGTCACTTCCTTAATCCTTTGTGTTTAAACCTTTATGCTGGGTACAAATTAATATTCCTCAGACTCTTGACCAACCACTTGAGTTCTTCAGTCTTTGGTGTCCTGTACTTTCCCTGCCTCAGAAAAGATCCCCTTGGCTTTGAAAAATGTTGTCTTTGCTTGTTGAGGAGTGAATGAATAAGGTTTTGCTCCATATTTTTGCCATGAGCAATTTACAACTATGCTGATAACAGATTTTAGATAAGATTTCACTTTTTTTTTCCTACTTTGTTGCACAGAGTATGTCAATTGTAGCTAACCATTGCTACCTACTACTATGTATAAACTTATTTAATTTTCTTTTCACAGAAAGATGAGTTTTCTGAAGAGTTGGTTACTCTTCAAAAAGAAGAAACAAATGGTCAAGAAGCATGTGAGGCTGTTATTAAAGAGAAAGCAGAAGAACAAAAGCAGCAGGTTAGATTTTTTTTTTTTTTTAACTGGAACTCTGTATCTTAAAAGGCTTTGTGTATTGCTGGAAATTTTATTGCTTTTCAGTCTTCAAGCCTCCCTTGAGGTGGGTGTTATCAGTGCAGTCATGGTAATTTCTCTTTTGATTTTTTTTTTTTTTTTAGTTACCCCTTTGCTTTCTGTCTAATCCACATCTTCTTCGCCATTAATTTGTATTTTTGTTAGCCTTCTTTTTACTTGCCTATATTTCTCTTTTTTATTTTCTAAAATAATTTTTTTTTTCATAATCTTTTACTAATTTTCCTTTGGTTCTTATTGCCACAGTATTCTTAATGCAGACATTCTCTTCGTGACCATTCCTCCTCCTTCAAGGGAGAACACATTCTGCTCTATCCTTTATAATAAGACTTCAGGGAATATAGGAAGTAATGGACGAGACTGCTGTTAGCATTTCTCAGAGCCCAAATATTCATATAACCCCTAGAGACAAGATAGGAAAGTATCTGATTTATAAGTAATATGCTATGAGAGAAGTCTCATAGCTCAGAATTTGAACTAAGTAATGGTGGAAATTTTGATTCTTTGTTGAATTATGAAGGTCTTCATCAGGAAAAAATGTTTTAAAAATTTTTTCTTTCAGATGGCATCAGGTAAATTGCTTACAAATTCAGAAGCGCTACTGAGAAGATAAGCAATACTCTGTCTCCTGCTAACACTGAACAGATACCTGCTATTCACATTGATTTTTTTTTTTTAAATCAAATTGATAGGCATTGTTGTGTACTCTCAAAGGAGTTCTCTTCCTTAATTCGTTACTTCTCAAAAGCGATGGATATTGTTATGGATCAGTGGGCTTTGATTGTCTTCTCATTTATAGTATTGCAAAAATCCAATGCAAAACAAGTACAGAATTGCTTCAGTTTTGCAACAGTGTGAATAACGGAAAAACAGTTATGGCAAAAACAGTGGAACTCAACTACAGCTGTCAGCAGTTCAGTATGACATCATGTTGCAGATAATCTGCTATACTGTTGGTATGACATTATACCTCAAGTAAATAACAGAACTCAGCACCAAATACTCATCTCCACCCTCACCTCAAAACACTAAAGTTACATTACAGTTGCTAAAATTCCATGCAGCAGAGATCATAAATGAGTTGCAAAGTATGGATTGCATGTTGAGGACAATGCACAAAAGGAAATTAGGTAGTCAAAGACTGGGTATGCTTTTAGAATAATAAAAATCCTAGCAGACAAGCATGTTTTATTCATGGATATACAGTAAATGAATATGAAAGGTTTCAAATTGTCAATGAATAAATGTAGTCTTAGAAATACAGGCAATACAAGATCAGACCTGCGTTCTATGAGATTAATACCTTTAGCTTAAAGAACATTTTGAAACCTTGGGATCCTGGATCGAAATGTAAATAATTTGCTATGTGAAAAATGCTGGTAGAGTTCGAGTGGGTGGTAATATGTTTAAGTTGTTAAAAGATGGGATACATTGGTAATTGATTTAGAGCTCTAAAATTTCCATTTTGCAAGATGATAACATAGACCAACTACAAGACATTAAATTGTGATGTTTTGTAGAAATACAACTAATATTAGCATTCCCTTTAGTTCAATACAGAATGTCCCGTAATCTGCTGATGAGCCAAAATTGAGCCTAATTAATTTTGTTGCCTCCATTCCAAGTCAATAGGAGTTTCACCATTGCCTTGGAGCCCAGATTTCACTCAAAATTTTGTGACTGTTCCAAAGAGCCCCTCTCAGGAGAATCACCTCACCCAGCAGATGTCCATAGCCTGATTTCCTATTTTTCTAGGCCACAGCTTTGTCAGTCTTTGTCAGACTGTGCCTCAGCTGCCCAGGGGAGAAGTCAAGGGTATGCGAAACAGCAAATATCAGATGTGAAGTATGGCAACTATGATGCCTCCACCCTTTTCATCACTCCATACTTCACTTAAAGAAGTAGCAGGTTCTTCTCACTAGACCTTTTCTGTCTTCCATTTCCATCCATTCCGATGAAAGACCTGTCCCATCCCCAGCCTTTTGTCTAGTGGGCCAGCAATCTCTAATTTTGTCCATACTTCTGCAAACTAGTTTTGCAGGATTAATTTGCTTCAATAATAAGTATCACCCTCTAAAAAAATGGCCTAGACCTTCTCATGGCACATTCATGCTCATGCTTCTTGGATCCCAGGTGGCACACCAGGACTGAAAGTCCTCCTGCTGCCAAAGCCTATCTGACAGCTTGCTCACTCACTGCCTGTCATTCTTTTCCCTGGCATTTTCCCCAGGGTAATTTTCCATCAATGTCTGAAATAATTCTTTTCAATTCTGTGATCTCCAGATGGGGTGACCATGAAACTGACAGCACATCCCTGCATTAGGATCCTAGATTAGCCACTGTAAGATTCCTACATTATCATGGCCTTCCTGTACCTTTGCATAGACTCCTCAATAGACAGAGTGAATCTGGACTGTTGATTTCATTCAGACAGTAGAGACTGGCTACTCAGAAATTTTGACCTTTTTTTTTTAAATTTAGCATTCTAATGAATTTTTAAACTTAATATTTAATCAGATTTGGTTTATTTGTTAGTGCAAGTCAGACCAAACCAGCCAGAATTGGCTACTGAAGTGCCTATTAAAGCTTCATTTAAGAAAGACTTGTAAATTTGGTCAAGCTTAAAATTGAGAGTAACTTAGAGCAATGCTGATAAGGTTAAAAGAGCTGGGTAACAGTCAAATTGGCAAACCCTATGGAAACATCTTCTATGAGTGCTAGTTAGAACCCTAATAAAAAAATTGAATATGTGCAGAAAGAAGTAGCGCAGTATCTATTGTTCTCTGAGTAATTGGAAAGGGGAAAAATAGATACATTTCACTAAATGTAAATAATAAATTATAATTTATTATGTTTATATCCATTCATACTGAAAGACACTTCAGGGGCCTGAGTTCATTGGAGGATGCTTGTGGAAAACACATTTAATACCCAAACTTGAACTTCATGTTACAACTGAAGTGAATTATTTAGTAAAATAGAGTAAAATCCCAGCTTTCTTCCAGTCATTCATTCATGGATCTATCTGGCATGAATCACGTGGCTTTGAAATAACAAATGTATTAACTTGGAAAACCTTCTATGTTAAAACTATCATATCTACAGGACTATGGCACACGTGAGGTTCTATTTCTTCTTTCTACTTCTATTTTGTTAGTTTTGTGCAGTGATGATTAGGTTATATTTCAAGCAATAAAGCAAAAAGAAAGCCAAAACTTATGTCCCGCTGCACTTATGTACTGGATACTACCAAAGAGACCTGGTTTGGAAAGCAATGACATCTAGTATATCACCCAGTTGATTTGAGTGAACAGTTTATAGGTCTCAGAAACATTGCTTAGTAGATTAAATATGTATAGAACTACTGAGAGAGAATAGCATACAAAAACATTATGAACACCTTTGCTGAAACCAAGGCACACATGAAATAGGCCTGAATATGTAATTACACATTTATATAGAAATCAGGAGGCAGAGAAATAACTTATAAATCAGATAATGTCTTTTATCCATTGTGATTAAAATTAATGCACTCATGCCACATCTTTTTGAAACATGATGAGAGGGATTTTATTCTGGATCCAAGATAAAATAAAAATAATTTTAATGTTTTCTGTTAATGCTTGGACGAGATCTTGAAACAGATGGCAAAAAATGAGGGAAATACAAAATGCTTGGAAAATATCTTTTAAAATGTTGGTTTAATTCAGTAACTCTTGAACATGACCAATGACTCTCTTTCTCAAAGAATGAAAGTCCAGTAACGTATTTTAATTGCTATGTAACTGTTGCCTGTTGAGCTGTAATTAGGCCACCTCCTTCTCAACCTTCCCCGTACAAATGCTCTTATAAACAGCACCTACAGAAAATCCACAGGTTGTCCTTTGTTTATAAAAGAGGTAGTTTTTCTTTTAGTGTCACTGTTACAATAAATGCTTATATATAATTATCGTAATATCTGCTAGAATCTATCCAAACAGTTTGAAATTACAGTTAGTTGCTGCAAAAATTTCTGAAGAATTATCCTTTTCCATGTGTTTCCTCCTGCTTCTCAGAATACATTAAGCTTAATTAGAAGAAGTATTTCAGATATTATTGCTAGCTTCTGCATGAAAAGGGAACGCATAGAATGATAACTCATTCTCTCTGTTTTTCTTTTTCTTCTTCTTTCCCTTCTCTTCTTTCCCCTCCTAATTTAAGGAGACGAATAAATTGGCTGATGTTCCAGTTATCTGTCCAGCTGGTGAAGATCTTGTTTCACAGGATACAGAGATGTCATCTTCAGCCAAAGAGGATAGTTTACAGACTGGATTCCTGGCAGAAGAAATACCCTCCAGAGATGAATATGAGTGTATATCACCTGATGATGTGTCTTTGTCACCGCTTTCTGAGACACCAGAATCCAACCTCTTACATTCTGAAACAGAGCTAGAAGAGCAGTGCTGTTGTAGTTCTCATAGTTTGCATGCCCTTTCCTATAGCTTGCAAATGCAGAAAACCACTAGTATTAAAAACGTGATGGAAGCATCTGATCTCTTAACAAATTCTGCTTATGCTGATGCTACAAATAGAACAGAAAGCTTATCAGATCAGTCTGAGCTGTTTTGTATCTCTTCAACAGATTCTGGTCCGAAAGTCAGAGCCATATCTCCTTTGACGTGTAGCTTACAAGGAATATCTGAAGCTGGCTATGCTTCCTGCACTATAAATGCCAAACCAGCGTGTAGCATGATGAGTGAAGTGTGCAAAACAGGTTTGCAACACCCTGAAATTCATAAAAGCATGGCAGAAACACAAGAACAATTGCATGACTTGAATAACTGTACTAAAACCCAGGACAGGCTGCATGCTTTGCCTGATGCATTCTCAGGTTTCGTGTTTCAATCAGACACCACCAGAACCTGTCAGAGGCAGATGGTCACCCGAGAAGAGATTAAAAGTTCATCAGAAAAGAACAGCATGGCCAGCCTGACTGGACAGGCGCCTAACTTCTCCCAGCTTCTGTCTAACAAAACCGTCATGGAAGGTTCTCCAGTAACTTTGGAAGTAGAAGTAACAGGATTCCCAGAGCCTACACTGACATGGTGGGTAGCTTATAATGAGAAGCAGTGAATATACCTCTTAGCAAGACATTTTGAACCACTTATAACCAAATTAATTAATCTATAGACTAGAATAAATATCTTGTGTCTCTCTCTACACTTCTGCATGATTCCCACCTTCAAAATTGCTTTTGACAATTAACCTACTTGAAATAATCTCTCTGTGCCTAATTTTATGAATAAGAGAGCATCAAACTACTACAAGTATATCCCATGTTTTTTAAGCAAAGACATCATACAGTTTTGATATCCTGGAATAGGACATTTCAATTGTTTAGTAATTTCTTAAAACAAATGCACACTTCAGATTTACCATAAGTAAACTCACCTGCATTTTCTCAGGGTTGTGGCACAGTACATGGATGGACAGACACATACATGTGCATGCACACTAAAGTATTTATATAGCCACTACATATACATAGAGACACATTTAAATATATGTGAGAGTCAGTTGTCAAAAATTGAGAGAAGTTACAGGTTAAAAAAACCCCCTAAATGTCTACACTAAGTACCAGTTTTATGTTATATATGTGTGCACTATCTATCTCTCTCTGAATTGCTGTATGTCTAATTAGATTTCTTTATACTGCATTTGTGAGAAATACAGGTGATGTAATGTAAGCATCTATTAAGATGACTTTTTAGAAATTCCATGCCAAAGGGAATAGGGACTGAAAGAGGGGAAGGATTTAAAGATTTGAAAGTCCTCTATGTGTTGACATATTTTCCTAAAATTTTACCTCATTTGTTATTTTTCCACTTATTCCGTTAGACTTTCACAATGGAGGCCTTTCTTTTAGTGTATTAGACTTAGATATGCCTCTTACTGGAAACGTTTTGATGTTAAGATTATTATTACACATAATATATAGGCAAACTATAAGCCTTTAGTAAGCTGAATTTTCTTCTATGGCATGGAGAATAAAACTGGACATTGCAACCTTGGTGCTATACTGTGTTGGTATCAATAAAGTTACTTTGTTTTAAATCCCAGTATTCTACAATTTGAGGAGTATTGTTGGTGAAACAAGAGGTACCTTCAGTCTTATTTTGTCGAAAGAAAGCATTAATTTAGCTCAAAAATATGTACACTGTTGGTATATAGTCTTTTAAAAAATATCATTCAACTGAAAGCCTTTTACAAATTAGAGGTTCATGAAAAGAGAAAAAATGTGGGTTTTTGTAACTAAAAGTTCATCAATACCATGTATTTTGTACTGATATAGACATTTTTGTATATACTTGTGGAAAAGCATTTCTATGTTTGTGTTAGGTTGAATGTAGCTTACGCTGAAACATCACAAGTCAAGAAGAGCCAGAATTTTTCCTCACTTCCAATATGTACATCAGGAGTCAATACCAATACATGGTGACAGATCCTCAAGTGTTAGAATATGACACCAGTTCTCTGAAATAACTCCTGATGCATTGTTCTATCCTGTTTGATGGTGTGAACTAAGCAAATGTTAAGTGGGCTGGGGTGGAGGAACAGGTCCTTGACTGTTCTTTATACTGAAGATGCAAGTTCGGAAAGTTTGTACATTGCTTATACATCTTAAGAGCTTATTCATGAGTTAAATGTGGATTGACTCAACACCTTACTAGCAAAAATGCTTCAGCACAAAACTGAGCGCCAGGCCTTCAAGCTACTCTCTCCAGTACTGCAGTAAGATAACTGTGAGTTGTCCATTGAAAACCACTTTCAGAACCACATTTTCTAGTATTAAGAATGTATTGTCCAGCTATTTGAATTGTTTAAATATTCATATTTACATATAACTTTAAAACTGAGGAAAGAGAGCACAGCAGTGAACTCTTGCTGTTAATGTAGTTTTATAGAGGTTTTCTGAATTTGCAAAGTTCTGGTTGGCATACAGTGATATAACTGACTTGAAAACTGACTCTCTGCTTCAGGTACAAGAAGGGCCAGAAACTGACTGCAGATGATCACTTAAAGCTTTTACAAAAGGAGACAAAGCATACTTTGTTCATTCAGAAGGTGTGTGATAAAGATGCTGGCCTCTATGTTGCTCGGGCTAAAAATTTGAACGGCACTGTCTCATCAAGTGCCATTCTTCACGTGAAAGGTAACAGGCCACCTATTACAAGAATAGACTGGATAATGCTGTGTCTCATCTATATTAGCATATCACTAATGTACTGGCTATTCACGAAATAAGTACAATATTGACTGCACTGGACTTAATTTTCACGTGCTAAACAACATTAAATTTATTTTCTTACACTGCATCTTTCACAATATGTACCAAACCACTTTTATGTCACACTTGATATATTGCTTGTTTCTTTAATACCGGTATTATGGGCCTATTTTCGTTTCTCATAGTGATATTGAGATAAAAAGTTGCAAAGATTTTCTAGAATATGAAGCAGAGTTTTGCTTTCTGAAAATGTTGGCATTGCAAAGCGTTGGAAACAGTTTTAATGGTTATAGGTACTAAATGTCAAGCTACACCCAGGTAGAGTGCTCAGATCAACGTATGTGTTATGACTTGCCTTTTCTGGGGATGGAGTGTGGAGGGTGTTGAAATGTTTCTTAAATGTCGAATTTATTGTTTCCAGTGACATTTTTCTCATATACTTGAAAAAGAAATTATTTGTAGGATAAAGCCTCTTAGTAAAGAAATCATACCAATCATGGTTGCACTGGCATAGATCAGACTTAAATATCTCAACCCAGGAGATTGTCTCCACAAATGAAAGCGGCAGTAGTTCCAATAGAGTTGTGTTCATCTGCACTGCAAATATTTGACCCAGAGTCATCAAGATTTGTGTAAGTGGCACCTAGCATATAGTAGACCAGAAACCCCAAATGTTTAAGAAATGAGATGTTCCAACATACCAGTCTGTTTAGGTAGATGCTTGTGGTACTTTTTCTGCCTTACAAAATTAAAGATATAAACTTTTCTAGTAATCCATTAAATTGTTAGCATAAAACAAGAAAGAGAATAGTTTGTGAAGTGAGCATTTGTACGTGTTTAAAAATTTTACCACACTGATTTCAAACAGAATCAACCAGATTGGGGAAATACTCAAAAGTGTATTCACACCAAAAAAAAAAATTGTTTTATTTCAGTCCTGTAACTTCAAAGCGGTAAATACAAACCAGAACTTTGTTCATGTACATGTTACATTTCATTCTTGACAAGGACAACCACAAATATTATTTTTTTCTAAAGTAGTAATTTGTTTAAATATTTGTTAACAATGATGTAACTGTGCCAGTGGAAAATTTCATTTTTAAATCCTCAAATGTAACTAAATTCTTTAGCTCCAGTACTTTTTGCATTTGTACAGTAAAAACAATTGGCAAACAGCTATATGATTTTTCCTGCATCTTTGATTTGCAGCTTTCATATTACAACTGCATTGGTGTGGAAAATTTACAGAGAGGAAATATTTACTTTCTCTTGCATATTTTGCTGAAGTGAAGTAAGCCTTTTACTGTGTAGCATGCTATGAGCAGAAAATATATTGCAAATTGCTGGGGGTTAGTGTGATTGAAAACTGACATTTAGATATTTTGGCACAGTGACTGCAACTTTATTAAAATTCCTGTGACTTTGAAATAGGAGACGTTCTCAAGGGGATATAACCTTGCAGCAATATGAGAGGGAGCAGGAGGAGTTAGGTGGTGAGCAGATGAGGGAACAAAGTAAATTCTAGCTAAAACTTGTATTACACTTAAGGAATAACTTTCTCAGTTCAGTCATCTGCCGAAAATGATTAATAAGAATTCTCTCAGGTATAAAAGTCACCTATTTTCCTAAAGTGTACTTTCCATTTCACAATAAAGCAAATTTTAATAATTAGTATGATTTTGAATGTTTCAATTTTCATAAAAGTAAAATTCAGTTTAGTGATTTTGTGCCCTTGTGACTTTATGTATGGTTGTTAGAAGCATACAGCAGAGAACCTATGTAAGCAAGCTGACTTGCATAAGCTGTACATTAAGTGATGCTATGGTAAGAACAAGCCAAAATGCCTCTCCTACATGCTGTAAGGTTTTGCTTGATGCAGAGCTGCCATTGCTTGACAAATTTATCCTGTTTGTAACACTCATTTTCTATTTGAAAATGTGTCTTCTAGGTGATGGCTGCCCTTCAACGCTCTGTTTTTACTGAGAGTTGCCATTATTCAATAATTGAAAGTAATCATGGATGTTCTTTTGACTTGTTTTCTGCTTTTATAAGTAACTTTATACAATACTCAGGTCACTTTTGCTTTCAGTATTGAGGCTAAGTGTACTCACACAAAAAAGCCAGGAATGAAAGCAGAGATGTTCTCTTTCCTCTTCTGCCTTGCCTCTGCCAGAATTAGGACTTTAAATTAAACATTAACTGTCATAAGGCTTATGACAGAAAGAGTTGTTGTAGCTCTATAGATGCTGGGCTCAAAGCTGCACCTCTGTTGTAACTTGTGGATCCTTCCTCTTGAAAACTACTCTGTGTAGTTCAGTGATAGAATGATCATTGTTCTGTCTTTTTTAATGGCCTGAGATATGCATTTGACCTTTTTGTTTGGAGGAGAGCCATTTGTTGAGCAAAATAACACTGTGAGGTGAGTCTCTGTCCTTCAGAAAGCAAGGCTAGAGCTAGGATTCCAGTCTTGCTTGGAAAAATTTGTTCCAAATTCACTTGTAGTTCTATCAAAGCAGGAGGAAAAGATGTGAACTTCTCATCATGTCTTACGGCAGGAATTGGAGGTAGCTTGGATCTAGACTTCTAGTTGGATCTGATTGCTTGCTGGTACTTACAGAAAGATCACTTATGATTTATGATAATCAGCTCTAGGAGCTAAAAAAGCAGCAAACAGACACAGAACTACTGGACGGGTGTACACAGATTATGGGAACAAATTATTTCCCCTCCCCTGTAACACTTCTTGATGGACATCTAGGCTCCTAGAGTATTACAAGGGAGCAGGCATGCAGACCTTCTCCCTCGTGCACATTTGCATTAAATCTGTTTCTGTTAACTTCATCTAACAGGCATTAGAACAAGTGGGAGAGATCAGTCACTTGCTTCACCTGAGGTTTGACAGTCAGAATAAAAGGTCAGTTTACAGAATCCAAATGGGATTTATTCCATTTTAAAAAATTAATATTATTGAGAAGCTAGCCAGTTATGTAGCCTTTTATTGGAGTTGGGCTTGCACTCCCAGTTTCAAACATAACAAGAAGGACTGTCATCTTTCCTCTAAGATGTTAGAGAGAAGCCTCAGAGAGAAAGTAAATTTTATTCCAACATTTACAAATCTGTGCTGTGTATGCCTATGAACAAGCATATTCTGCCTTTAGTAAAATTCTGAGTATGTATCACACTGCAAAAGTCTAATTGAGTATACTTATGTTTTTCTTCCTTAGTAGAAAAATGTCTAAAATCAATACAATGCTGATTTTTTTTTTCTTCTGAATTATGGTTTAAATGATCCTTGTTGCTAAAGCTTGTATTTTCCATATCTATTTTTCTCTTTTTTTTCATCATATTTTGAAAGTACTATTGGTAGTTTATGTACTGAACAAGATATAAAAGTAGTTTATCTTAATGGACTTTTCAAGGCATTGCTATTTGACACTTGATTTGGAAATATATGCTCCAGGAAGGCTTTCCAGATGAGGAAGCTGTATTGACATGATGACCCTGTAACTGTTCCCTGCTACGATGTGGTGTTGAAGCAGCACCCGTGGTAAATTTTGTTGGTTGGAGAGGGACATCTTTAAGCCACTTCTGTCTAGAAAGTCACTAAAGGAAAGCAGCCCTCTGCCCACAAAACTACAAAAGCAGCATGGTAGTGAAATGCCATACCTGGTGAGCTTAACACTCATTTTCCAGCTTGAAACATATAAGGTTGTTGTAACTGACAAATTAGGTAGCCCAGATTTCAACAGAGCTTCACAGAAAAAATGATGCCAAGGGTGATCTTGTCTCAAACTATGACAAGACAAAACAAATTTATTTCACTGGGGAAGGGTAGATTAATGTAGAGTTGTACATCCTGATTAAATTTATATGTGTCTAAAGCTAATATAGACGATCCCAAGAGATTACCTGTCACCCAAGGAAGCCAGCTGCCTTTCTAAGGAAAGTGAGCCTCAGTTGTATTATTCAGTTCAAAAGCAGCTGAAATGGCTTATGATCTGCTCCTGTGCCAATGCATCCACTTTCATTTGTACTCAATCATGTTATCTGCGAAAAGTAAGCCTCCTACTACTGGATTTAATCCTGGAATTGAGTTCCTATTCAAATGTTAAATAATACCTTTCAAGTTTGACATGTGAGAAGAATGTGAGATGCAAATAAATCCAACTTTTAAAATCTAAATCACTATTTTTTTCAAGAGTGCACACAAGTATGGCATTCACGCTATTGCTAACAGACATTGCAAAATAATAAAAGGTCAAAACAAACAGCTTGTCACTTCTGATAATGTAATTTTTGCCTAGTCAGTTATTATAAGTATTAAAGGCAAAAAGGTAGAAATATAAGGTCACAAATTGCTTCAGCACATCTGTAGATCTTAATAAATCATTTTATCAGTACATAGTCTCCTTGTTCATTAAACTTTTCCTCTGAGGATTTGAACATTTCTGTGAATTTTAGATTAACAAAACTTGATTTTGTGAGTATGGTTTTGCATCTACTCTAAATCAAGAGCAGTTTTAAATGCACAGTTTTTAATGGGTATGTGGATACCAGCCACAGTTTTAACTGCTGCAAAAAAACCAAGATTTAAAAAAGAGAGATTAGAGATACCAGATACACAGCAGGATACTGAGTCTTCTGGTTTTAATGCTTTGCTTTGTAAACAAAGGTGTAATTGGTTCTGATTACTGGTGTGTTGGCAGTCTGAGTTTAAATACTCTTTAAGGACTCTAACGAATGCTCAAAAAATGCTTTCCTGGAAAATTTCTGCTGTTTTGTGTTTAGAAAAACTTAAAAGTGAGAGTGATGTAGTCTCAGGATACGCTAGTATTTCTCTGAATGAAAAGCACATTCATTCTGTTTCAGCAATAGTTTCAACAAAATGTTTCCCCCCTCCCTTTTATTTTCTTTTTTATTTATAGTTGATGTTGTGCATGCTTCACTTCCTCCTTCTTTTAACCATACTGTAGAAGCAGGGAATATATTTAGCTATTTTCTCTTGTTCTGTTTCTGC